AATTTTTTTTTTTTTTTTTTTTTTTTTTTTTTTTTTTTTTTTTTTTTTTTTTTTTTTTTTTTTTTTTTTTTTTTTTTTTTTTTTTTTTTTTTTTTTTTTTTTTTTTTTTTATGAAAAATTTTCATTAATCATTATTAGCTAAATTATGAATTGAATTCCCTTATAATTTTCAAAATTAATTTGGGTAGTAAATGGGTTAGCATTATCCTCTACATTGATCATCTAGATATTATTTGTATCTAACAAATTTAATGCATATACTAGATTATCGCATGTTGTTCGAAACCCGAAGTTTACAAAATTAAATTATGAACATAATTTTCATATTATACAATTAAAAAAGTCTATTTTGGTGATGCTAGTGATATGAATATCAACATTTTTAATAAATGTTAGTTAAGATGACGATAAGTAATTTAACATTATTGCTTGTTAAATGCCTCCAGTTAATTGAGAACAAAGTACTTCTCATTTCTGTTTAGGGAATACCATATGCATCATACAAATGTCATAGTTTTCTCTATTATAACTCGCTTATTATTAGAGCCTAATTTTTTCATCTAGTACATTATATATAAAATCAATCCACCACAAGCATTCGGATAGAAAGTGAAGAATGTTTATATTAATGCGTAGTTTGAATTCTTATTCCAAGTAGATCATATTTTATAGCGCAACAAAAATGATTATCAATTTGATTGGATAATTCTCTCAAAATTAGGAGGAGGAACTAAGAAGCTGAAAATAACATACATTTGTCATCATATAAATCCTCACAAAAAATAATTCGAACCAGAAGTTCGAAAGGTAATTTATTTAGATTCTTTTTATGACTAAAGAGATCAATAATTCTCACGCACCAATTTTAAATACTCCAGCATGAACTGAAGTCCTACGAAAATAATTTGTTAACATTATATTTGATATATTTTTGACAAGCCTGAAGCATGATGGCATTAGATTCCATTAAAGATTCATGTACTTTTTATGAATATTTAGAAATAACAAATTATAAAATTTCTGAAGAGGTTTAAGAACGTGATATGCTGAAATTGAAATATTTCAATAAATTATGTTGTTATGAGAAAGGAAATAAAATCGAAAAAAGAA